ACAGAGTTAAAATTTTTTAACATTTTCTAATGGTGGTGTGCCTCGTGATTTTTTTCATGAAAAAAGTGTGCCTTTGCACAAAAAAGGTTGAAAAATACTGATGTAAAGCTACAAAAAAACAAAACCCAACCCTATATAACAAAAATACTTTTTAAAAATTTCTTCTCCCTTTTTTGTTTTTTATAACAAGATGGATTAAAGATGGCCTGTCAGCAAAGTAAGTAGCTATGAATACTTAGCATCTTACAGATAATATCCATGTTTCCCTTCAACTTCCCTTCAATAAGCAATAAGGCAATGCTTATGTTAAAACCAAACAAAATTGCAGAAAAGAGAATGCAGACGGTCATGCTTATCTTTGACAGCTGTCAACATTTGTTTGTGTTATATGTCCATATTAATGTGTGGAATGCATGGAATCTAGTAATCTTTTGATAACTCTGGCTATGAGAGCTTCAGGAACCTTCTAAAGGAATTATAAATATGTATAAGGTTTGGAGAGCATAACACTCCTGTGGAGTGTTCCCAGATAACCTATGTGATACTTGAAGCTACACTCTGCAAAATGTTATTTTATCTAATCTAATAGGTCAATGGAATCAGTATGCCTCAGCATTAGACTCTGTCCTCATTCCATTTAGTTTAGAATTCAGATATTAAGCAATTTATTCACAATTAAACAGCAATGGATAATGGTGTAGAAAAGAGTGAAAAGAAAAATATTCATGTAAGGAAACAAGTTCAGAAATCCTTTGATGTAAAGCTGTCAGGACAAGGGCACACAACACTTTTTTCTTCTTATCTTGGTCTTAAGTAATGGACCAGGAAGTGTTCTCATAACTCTGCAATATTTGCATTAATACTCAGCTTAATGCATGTATTTTGAATACTTTTTTACATAATATGAGGCCTCAATTTTGTTTTGTTTGAATTGAAAGTCCATTTTAACAGCATATTCATGTAGACAGTGCAGGTTAGGGAACGATTAGTAGTGCTGAGCAAGCTGCTTCTCAGAAAAGCTGGTTCCTCATTATTTTTCTTGTTGAAACCCTGTTAAATTCTAAGAAACTCTTAAAATATAGTGGGGAAAAATATCCAGCAGAAATTTTTGAACGTGTTTAATAAGTACAGTATTTTTTGCCTCACCTTTCGTGTTTGTTCTTTCATTTTCCAGAGTATTTGGCTTTGTTGCAAGGAAACAAGGTAGTGCAACTGATAACGTTTGCCACCTGTTTGCAGAGCATGATCCAGAACAGCCTGCCAGTGCTATTGTAAACTTTGTATCAAAGGTCATGATTGGTTCCCCGAAAAACTGAAGGCCTCCTGTTTTACTGATCTGTTGGACTTGTAAGCAGAAAGCATATTTTCAGATGAAAGCTGTGTGGCCCTCAGCAGTTCTTCTAGTGGACATTCCATCTGTAAAATAAGATAAAAGGATTCATTTTATATTTCAGTAATATCACCTGACCGTTTAAACTTCTGACATCAAACTAGGATTAAGCAAATAAGGGAATAGGAAGTTTGTAAGATCCTGAGTACCCAATTCTGACCATTTTTTTTTTAAAAAAAATCTAAAGCATTACAAAGTTGAGAAAATTGAAATGAGCTTTTCTGGTTTTTAACTTGGGATGGGGTGGGATGAGGGAGAGTGGGCATTCCCCTCTTTGGGCATGTTGTTTTTATGTGGAATTTTTGCTGGAATTTTGTAAAGTTATGAGAGCAGAAATTTGTATGAGAAAAATCTCAAAGATCTCTCAGTTGTAATGAAGGAATAGGATTAGGGACTGGAAGTGGAAGATATAAAGACTTGCAAGTTTATTATTATCTTTCCTTAATTCTTCCTTGCAAATTCCCAGTTTGGGACACTTTTAAAAAGTTTTTGTTCCCTTGAGTAGGTTCAGAAGTCACATGCTACTGTTCTGGGCACATTTGTAGTGAACAGTGCGTTCTTAAGTGATTATATAAAATTGTTCTTTTCTTTTGTTCTGAGATCCTTTGTTGCAAGTGTCCACTTTCAGTAAACATTTGCTTTTGCATAGATTTTTGCTTTGGTCCTAGCAAATTCCTAGATTTCTTCTCTTCATATTAATATTAGAGTGATGAACATCAAAATTATAATGGAAAAGTGTATGTAGGAAATTGGGGCAAGTTTATTTTGGATGGTGTAAAGAAAGAGAAAAAGGAGGCTTGTCTAGTACATATATTGTAAGAAAAATTGTATATTTGTTGAATGATAAATGGATAATTAGGGGGATGTTTAAAAGAGGATAAAGTGATTCAGAAATTTTATGAGGAATTTTAAGAAAAGCCTTTAATGATAGCGTATAAAAATGAAGGCTTCATTACCTTATGTGGAATCTTCCATCTGGAGTTGGGAGGGATATACAATATACAGATTTCCTGTGCACAATGCTAGCTATTTGATTGATTGTGTATGCTGTTTCTGCTGTACCTTACCCCTGCTGTTATATGTTGGCCTATTTCTGGGCTATCTGTAAATTATCAGAACCTGTTTAGTGTGGGCGATCCCTGCTAAGCTACATCTCTGGTGCTTAGTGAATGCTATGATCCGTGCTTCAGTGCTATCTTAGTCCTTTCCAGCCACTGGTAGAATTTCTCGATGTCTGCCACATCAGTGTCTGTCCTATGCAGAGTTTTGCCTTTCTGTAGCATTTTGTCTGGTTGATCTTCCTCCTATGTTTGCCTCAGGCCTTCTGTCAACAGCTCATTTTTGGATATCATATTACTGATGTACTCCTAGGTATTCTGGACAGTTTTGATATTGCCGAGACATGTTTTGCCTTCTGGGTGTTGGACTTTGGATGGAAACCTCCATACCTTGTGAGGAGTTTCTGGGTCATCACATTGGCAGCAGTCTGCTTTGGCCAGCTCACGATATCAGCAATATTACATATATTATTAGCTTGTGACAAATTATTTATAGTGTAAAACAGATTTGGGTCTGTTGAATAAATGTTTTATTTCTATATACTTAAATGGGGTTTGTCATATAAACACACAAACACTATTTTTTAAAATAGGATATTTCTGCCAGATCACTTTACACAAAATCATTATGTAATTTTATCAATACACAGAATATTTTGTTCATGTCTGAGGGGAGGAAGCAGTGTTTCATATTCTGGCTTTAAGAATAACCACACATCTTTTTAGAGAACAAACCGTGCATATTTTTTATGTTTCAAGAAACAATAAAAAACTTCATCATTATATTCTGAAAATAATTTTTTACTAATATTTTAAAAAAATTAAAAAAAAATCTTGAGTAAATTTTAAAATGGGAAAAGGAAGGAAATCTTATTTTGGGTCCACCTATCATATTTTGATAAATGACATACTCTGATTTGACAATCTAACATACATATCATGTGACCAAATATCACAAAACAGAATATTACTATATTTTTGTATGCATGGTGGTGATTGTTATAGTCTGCTTATAGAGTATATACTTGTATATAGCCCAATGATACCAGAAATTATTTGTAATGATTGTGTTCCCATATGTGAATGTGTATTTGCACAGTTACTGATGGTATGCATGTTTTCCATTTCTTTGCACCATAGTGGTACAATCTAGCCATACAAGAAGAGGGGTGGGGTGGGGGTTGAAATAAGAAATTTAAACATCAGTATTTCCAGTGGCTCTAAGGAAACTGGATGCAAATAGTGGACATAAGATGTCAGAATTACAGTTGTAAGAAGGAAAGAAAAGTATCTTTTGTCTGTTCTCTGTCTGTTCTCTCTCCCCCTCCCCTCCTCACACTGTTGAGAATAGGTGTAGAATTTTTCTTTTGGGCAGATAAATTATCCAGTACTCATTTAACGGGGTAATGAAGTCTTATAGAAAAATTGGGTGCAATTTCATAGGCAGCATATGGTATTCTTGCATTATTTCCCAAGTATCAGAGAGGTTTGAATGATTTGAGTAATGTGTTCACCCATTTTCTCATTAATTTTCAGTCTTTCTAACTTCTTATGTTTCCATTAAATTCCAAGGATATTTTAGTAGTTGCTATTGCTGCTTCTAATCAGGAATCATTGCTTTACAGAGATAGTTGGAAAATTTCTTCTTCATTTGGAAAAGTAGTTGTCATATATCCACAATTTTAATGGAAAATGTTTATGCCCCATATTACTATATGTCTCATACCGAGAGATACATAAGCGATTACATTCACATATGAATATTTGTTTAAAGTGCTGATTAACTGCAGTGACTAATCAGACTGCAATAAAATGTGTTTTGGATTCTACAGATGTTAAATCTGTTTTCTATAATTTGCTGCATAAATAATAGAATCTGAGAAACTACAGATTCAAGGTCAACTAATTGTAATCTACAGGTTGTCCTTGAATAATTGATGGGCATTAACAGAAACAGGCATTTTTGAATGAAACTTAATATTTTAATAAGCATCATACACATCAAAACCATCTTCCAATAAATGAACAAATAATTATATGAGGTTCTCTCTGTTTGCCACACCTACACATTTTCTTTAAAACAACTGATGGAAAATTGATAGTTTTTAAAAAAATATTTCATATGGATAGGTTAAGAGGTAACAAAAATGAACTTGTAACAAAATACAACAATGGTCCAAAATTTTGATAAGTGTTCAAATTTCACAAATACTGTATGTTTTTACTTTATGGACTACGTTAAATATTAAAATATTTATGTCACCAAACAACTGATAATATCAAGTGTTTGAAATCATGACAGGAATAAACAGTGGAGAATAAGGAAATAGTTCAGGATTTGAAAGAAATGTATTTGATCTATATTTTACTCAAGGTCTTTTCTACTTATAAATTGCACATTGCATATTACTGAAAGCATAACAAAAAATGTTGAAATACATTTTCACACAAGTGGCATTATCGAAATTAATCTCAAGAGTATTATTATCAATGTGCCACATTTTTAACCATAATCACGTCTATAAATGCAAGTCTTGTGTCTGTAAACACAATTCCACCTCCTCAATCTTTTTACAAAACCAAACAGCTCCAGAGATACAATGCTGTTCCCTCTCTGCCAGAAAACTCTATGTAAAACATGCTCCAATCCGATCCCTTAGGAAGAAAAACCTTCCACTTCATTTGGTTAATGCAAAGGGTTCTTTTACTGAGAATGTTGGTTGCAGTAAAGCCAAGCTAGCTCTGAAAGTAGCTCATTCACTGGATGCAAAAATAAGGTGTAGGTTTGCCCCCAGTGTCTCCCTCCCCCCACGACGAGTCTGTTTTCAGCCAACCAGAGCTTGCCAAGCTGTTTTGAGACTTGGAGGTGTTGGAATAATCTGTATATTTCAGCGATGCAGTCAATGGGGTGCTCTTCAGAGATAGCTACAAAGTCTTGTCCTGTGACCACTTTAAATGGAGTGAACCCTTTGCTATTGTGCTCTGAGATATTGTAGGTGACCTTCACAAAATGGAGTAGGTCCATCCAGTTGTACTATTGGTAATTAATATAGCATCTGAGGCAATTTTGGTGAACCTTTTTGGCATCGAGTGCTGAAATGGGAGTACGTGTGCATGCCGGAAACTTGAAGAGCAGCTGCCTGGTGCACATGTTCACGCCGGGAAGATCATCTTCCTGGCACATAGATGCACAACGAGTAGCTGCTCTTCCAGTTTCTGGCACTCCCACAGGTAAGACCAGCTGGCCAGTGTGCCGGAACCTGGAAGAGCAACAGGTGATGGCTTGGGTGCCCAGAGAGATGGCTCTGCAATAGGTTTAACCATCATGGATCTGAGGTATTGCTCCTGAGTGCCATTGGTTCTCTTGTAGCCTCTTAGTAGCTGGATGATGTGGTAATTTCAGAGCCGGCTTAATGTCAAACCTGCCCAAATCTAAATACATTAGGCTGGAAAAAATTAACCAATCTGTCAGCAGACTTAAAATTATTTGCAGACTAGAAGCCATTAGTTCTTGTCATAATTGCTGCACAACTTCCTACTATCTTGTTGGAAGATTGTTGTGATGACAGTTGGCAAACTTTGTCTTTCAGATTGCATATCCAAGGATGCAATGGCATACAATGGTTCCTGGTTATTCAATAGTATCAAAAATGTTTTTGACCCTTAAATGGTGTTCCTTTCTCTCTCAAAATTTGTATAAACATATTCAATATGTAAAGAACATTATATAATAATCATTTCTGTTTTTTGAAGTATCAGCTGTAATCAGATTTTAATAAAATTGCTGAATTTTATACATGTGTTTCTACTAACTAAACACTTATGACGTTTTTAGTATTACGTTAAAATGGGAAGGGTGCAGAAAGGAGTTGTTTATATAATGGCAGTAGATAGTGCAGTGAAAATAATTTGATGGAGAACCCTGATGACAGTATTACTTCTGTTTTTGTTACCACGTGATTCTTTGAAATCACTGATAAAAGAGAATACTTTGCCCAAGTATGAATATAATGTGAAATCTAGTTCTTGTTTACGTTTGAGGAGAAATACAACTACTGTGTTTTCCCAAAAATAAGACAGGGTCTTATTTTCTTTTGACCCACGAAATATGGCCTTGGCCTTATTATCGGGGGTCTTATTATTTTGGGGATGCAGGAGGGTGGCAAGCATGGGACTGCATATCCTGTCACCTCCACCACCTCCCTTCCCTGTTCTTTGCACCGGTCGAGCAGCTGGCCGGCACTGCCCTGACTGTTCCATCACCACCCTGCGTCGGGTTGGTCTTTCTTTGGGAGGGGAACATCTGGGGAGCGAGAGATTAGGGAATCCTGGGCTGGCATGTAGCAGTTTTTCCAGTGAAGCATCTGATTCGTCCCTAGGGGTGAGCGTTTTGCCACATCTCTGCCCCGGCTTGGAAGCTGCAGAGGAAGCCTGCCATGCCCAGCGAGGCGGGGAGAAGAGATGGCAAGAGGAGCCATGTGTTGCTCCATGCCTCTCACTTCTCCCCCACCCCATCTGCCATCCGTTTTACTAAAGAGACAATGGGGAAGGGAAGCAGCCTGGATTCTGTTAGCATTGGGGCGAGGTGGGAGGAATTGGGCTGCGAGACATGTGTCCTACCTGAGATTTGCAGCTCTGTTGTGTTCCTCACTGTTTTGTCCAGAGAAGCACCTTGTAAAAAAAATCTTGCGAGTTCAACTTCCCTGTAGAGGCTTTCTCTTCAGCTTCCAAGCCGGGGCATAGAGGTGGCGAAGGGCAAAATGTTCACCCCTGGGGGACGCTTCACTGGAGAAACGGCCCCATGCCAGCCCAGGCTTCCAAATCTCTCACTCCCCAGATTGTCCGCTTCACACAGAAAGCCCAAACTGACACAAACACCGCCTCCAGCCACCTCTTCATCCTGGTGAAATGACGCTTTGAAAGGATGATCTGCAGGTGGGGGGAGATTTCTTGCACATTGGCAGTGGCGTCTCCTCACAGGGCTTCTCCCAATGTCCCAAGTGCGAAGCAACATCCCATAAAGGAAGGCATGGAAATCCATACAACTGGAATGTTGGAAAAAGCCTTGTGAGAAGGCACTGCTGCCAATGTGCAGGAAATATAGTCTTGTGGGCCGTCGGAGAGGGATCGTTTTCAATGAACTTCACTCTGTGTCTCTGCAGGCGGCAGCATCGGCAGCATCTCCTTGCAGGACTTCTTCCTCCCCTCTGGTCTGATTCTCAAATATTTTCAAGCAAAACACTGCCGAGAGAGGGAGTATCTCTTCCCCCTCTCTCACCAAACTTTCCAGAGTATTTGGCTTTGTTGTAGGCATAACATTTCACAAAGCTGCTGGCTTAATCTGCGGCTGCTGGCTCCTTCACTTTGTGTTTTTTATATACATACTGACATACCCACCCTACCTGGGGATGCCATTTCCCATTCCCAAGATTCCGTTTCCAAGGAAGAGCGCTGGGACAACACTGGACTCTCCCCCCGCCCTGGCTCCTGTCAGCCTTAACTTTGCTCCTGTCACTTTTCTGCTTGAGCTCAGCCAAAGTGGG